CAAAGTTCTTACCAGGTCTACAGAGACCAAAGAAAAGGGTGTGAGACTGCCAAGGAATGAAAATGAGATCACGACCATAAAGTAGGTTTTATTTTTACTTATTTCCTGGTTATTATATTCATTGACTTTTAAGTCCACAGCTAGTTAACATGTAGTGTGATATTAGTTTCAGGTGTACAACATAGGGATGCGACACTTCCGTACAACACCCAGTGCTCATCATGACAAGTGCACTCCTGAATCCCCATCACCTATTTAACCCATCCCCACTCCTTCCTCCCCTCTGGGGACCATCAGTCTACTGTTTCTTGATTTGTCTCTCTCTTGTTTCCTCTTTGCTCGTTTGTTTCTTGAAGTCCACAAATGAGTTTTCAAAGTCATATGGTGTTTGTCTTCCTCTGACTCACTTTGCTTAGCATTATATTGTCTAGCTCCATTCATGTCCTTGCAAATGGCAAGATTTCACTCTTTTTTATGGGTGAACAATATTCCGTTGTATATATAGACCACTTCTTCTTTATCCACTCATTAACTGGTGGGCATTTGGGCTGCTTCCATAATTTGGCTGTTACAGATAATACTGCTATAAACATAGGGTTGCATGTATCCCTTTGAATTAGTGTTCTTACATCCTTTGGGTAAATTTCTAGCGGTGTGATTGCTGGATCATAGGCAGTTCTATTTTCATAATTTTAATATTAATTTACTTTAAAATTAGGTAAATGTGAAGGTCAAAAGGACGTCCATAAAAGATAAGAAAACAATGCATAGAGGTTTTCTTTTCCTTCAATTGAATTTTATGTTAAAACTTTTCCCCCTAGAATAGGACACCTATTTGGAAACATTTCAACAATCTTTGTGCTGATGTTTTCTATATTCCACACAAGGTTTCTGTGGCTCTTCTGGCCCCTTTCTAATAAATTGCAAAATAGAGTCTCTAAGGGGAAAGGAAAGTAGGGGAAGGGGACTAAAAAAAATTCATCAGGCACCATGGATTAATTGCTTTTCTGTGTTTTCCCATAATCATCACAACACATACCTATTTTCCACATTTTTGAGAAGAGAAAATGAAGGCTCACAGAGTTAAAAGAATTTGTCAAAGTGGAAACAGTTACCTTTCAATGAAGTTTAGTGTTCCAGCTAAGGTCTATTTATTTCAAAGCCCTGGCACTACTGCCCAATTCCTCCCAGGATGGGTTTTTTTGAAATAAATGCAGTGCTTCTGGCAAGACCATAGGGCAAGGGGAGACATGTTCTCTCACTTGTCTCAAAACTGTGTGTCTGCATCTTCAGTGTGGAAAGGCCAGTGAGTAAAAGCTTTCAGACTACCTGCAGTGCACATAAAACTTTTGTAGAGGAATGTATAAGCTGGAAACATGCCCCCAAGATCCACAGGCAGCTTTCCTGCCTGCAGGAGACATATTGGTGAATAATTAGAGATACACGCAGAGGTTTATGTACGTGTGCATTCATCACAGTGTCATTTATAATAGCTACCAATGGAGAACAATCTAAATGTCCCACAGTAGGGGAATGATTCAATAAATTAGGACACTCATATAATGAAATATTACTGACATTAAAAATCATATTTTCTGAGACAATACATTTAATGCACAATCCTATATTATTCCCCGATACTGGAAAACTTAAAAAAAAAAAAAAAAAAAAAAAAAAACACCAACCAGCTACAAAGAACATTAAAGGGCTAATTGGAAAATACTTAATATGGATAATTTACCAAGTAATATCATTTGTTGAATGTTGAATGTAAAAATAAATGTAATTTAACTAAATGGGTTAATTCTTAGAAAATACATGCTTATATATTTGGGACAAAAAGTCATATTTTGAAGAGATACAAGAAGCTCAAAATATAAAATTGATAATTAATTTTCATGTTGCTTAAAATACATATGCATAGAAAAAAATGACACACATTGTAATGTAAGCATTCGTAATCTCTGTGTAGTGAGGCCATTTGCAAGTTTTAAAATTTTATCTTTTGTGCATCTTATCATTCTTGAATTTTCCTACTGGGGCCTACTATTAATCTGTTCCCACACCCTTAAGGTATATGCACAGGGAGAAATTCAAGAGTAGAGAAAGGTTGATTGGGCACACTGCTGACTTCTATCACTAAGAGGGCCTTGTAAAGTAATCCAAAGTAAGATGAGGTGTCAAAGTAAGTACTGGAAGCATAATAGGTCTAAGTTACATTGTTGGGGCAAGGGGTAATTAGGGGAGGAGTGTAGATAAAGACCTCATTTGAAGAGTTAATAGAGTTTTATTAGTTAATTAGATTTTGGGGCAAAAGAGGTATAATATTTTATTTTTATTGTTATTTTTTTACTAGGCTCCATTCCCAGTGTGGCGCCGAACATGGGGATTCAACTCATGGCCCTGAGATCAAGACCTGAGCTGAGATCAAGAGTCAGTCCCGTGACTGGCTGAGCCACACCGGTACCCCATAATATTTTATTTTTAAGGTACACTAGGATAAGCAAAGACAATTTTTTTTTTTTTTAAATGAAAAAATCAAATTGCAGTCCTGTGTGGGAGACAACTCTTGATGTCCTCTGCCCTCAGGAGTTGACATACCCCGTCTCCTCTAGTCAATAGGTAAAGAGGGAAATGGCCAGGATTCTGGATTCCATTTTGTAATGGGCACTACAAGAGGCTACTTGTGACTCGCTATCTCCTGGGGAAATCTTCGCCGAAGGAAGGGATAGAAGACAGATTTGGGAGGCGGAGAAGGCGTTAATAGGAGGGAAAGGGGATAGCTTGAGTAATGGTGGCAGGTCCCATGTGGGACACTATTCCTATTTGAGAAAATGTCTTTGTCAAATGCTCAAAGACAGGGGCAGAAAGAGGCGACCCTGGAAAAATGCAAGGGGGTGAGTTTGCCCTCAAGGGTGTGCAACTCTCAGTTGTTTATTCCATCTGCTCTCCCTCCCACCCCCACCACCACATCTGCTTGGCTTAAAGTTTATGTTGCGAAGCCTTGGGTGAAAATTTTCTTGCCACTTTTTCATGGTGGCTTATGCAAACTCAGCAGAGTAAAAATCGTATAGATTCAGGGGCACCTGGGTGGCTCAGTGGGTTAAAGCCTCTGCCTTCAGCTCAGGTCATGATCCCAGGGTCCTGGGATCGAGCCCCGCATCGGGCTCTCTGTTCAGCAGGGAGCTGCTTTCTCCTCTCTCTGTCTGCCTGCCTCTCTGCCTACCAAATAAATAAATAAAATCTTTAAAAAAAAATAGTATAGATTCAGTGGCAGGCCCATACAGACAATGCTGTCCATGGGATGACTTTGCCAGAGGGAAAAAATATAGGCTGGTTTCCTTGATAACATCAACCCCTTTAGGACAAAGGGGGGGGAAAAAAAAAAAGAGCTATCACCTCAGTTACACCACATAATTCAATATATGTATGTTTAATTTAATTATAATGCACACTAAGTTACAATGTCTGAACTTTCTATTCATTTATTAAAATTTTTAAAAATCAATGTTTTGGGGGTTTTTTGTAATTGAGAAAGATACAGTCCAAATATATTTGGTGTTTGCTGTTCATGATTTGTTTCTTAGCTTTTTGAGGTGATAAATCAAGAGTAAAATTTAATAAAATAAAATTTTTTAAATGGGGGAACAGCTACAAGTTGTTCCAGGAAAGCATGATTGGCTCCCTCTACAGTTCTCCAATTCCAAATATATGTGATGTCAGGGGGGAAATGCAAACAGTGAATACAGAGAACAAAAGAGGGCATGATTTGGGACCCAAAGTCTAGTTCAGATCTGCTCCCCTGCCTGTGAGGGCACAAGATGAACATGCATAAGTTTGAAAGAGAAAGCAGATCTAGATTAATGAGAAGAGTGAATACCAATCTTAAAATAAAGCCGGTTAGCTAGCCTCCCCCGCTTACTTACTTCCCTCCCTGCTATTTTCTATGCTCATTAACAGATTCAATTATCAATCTTCCCCAGCTTAGTCTCTCATCTAAAGACCAAAATCTGTGATAAACATTTTTCTTAATAATCTTGCTGTTGTGAGTGGGTTAAATCCCATCAGTTTTCTGGTCTGAGACTGAAAACATGAACAGTGAGTTCTGTGAATTGGAAGAGGCAGTAAGGGCTCTGTGATGGGTGCCATTCGGCAAGGTAAGCATGCAAAAAAGGTTAAAACAAACAAACAATCCTACAGAGAAAAAAACAAACAAACAAGCAACAAAAAAATCTCTACAGGGACAGAGCCCTAAGAATGGGGCACATAAGGGCAGACCTCCAGCAGAAGGTTATCTGAGAGCAGCCAAAAGATCTGCTCACAAAACTTCACAAACCCTAGCATGTTGGAATGGAGAGTAGACTTGATTTCCCCTTGCAGTGATTAAAAGCCTTCTGCTTGTAGCAAGTAGCAAAAGCACAGAAAATAACCTTATAAAAAATTCAGTGAAGTCATTTGGCACCCACAGCCTTGATGCATTTATTGAAAAGAGACTTTGCTCTGTGATCTTTGAACATATTCACAGAAGGTTCCAGCCTCTTGTGGGTATGGAGACATGAATAATATGATATCCACGCCTATATTTGCAGCATTCTGAAGACATAAGTCTTCCTGAGTGCAGATATTCCAGGCCTCATGGGATGGGAAGAAAGACAACTTTTTAGTGGAGACTGGGTCATGAGTCCCTCTCATCAACCCTGAAAGAAGACCCTTGCATCTGTTCCCCGCTCCCAACCCAGCCCCAGAGGAGTTAGGATTGCCCCAGCACGCAGAGCTCTGCACATAGAACAAAGACACATTCAAATAGCAGAGTTCTTCTTTAGAGTCAAATAAATAAATACACTCATAAACATGACATATATTTATAAAACTGGCCTATGACAGTGGGGTTGGGGATAATGAGGGCGAGTTCTACTTCTATAATTTTAGTGACCAGCATATATGTGGGGCAGTCTAAATAATGAATTTGGTTAAAGACAGGATATGATCGGCTTTCTATGGTGTTGAAAGTTGGTTGTCCAATTTGGCTGTTGATTGTGGCTCCAGTTAATGGAAACTCTTCGGTGGGGTGGGGGGTGGGGCTTTCCTTTCAGATCACCTGATGTTAATAGTGCCATTGCATTAATCATCTTAATTAATAATTATCTGTTGGTCTTAGACCTCATCCTTAGTGAAAGCTCCGGGGTATCTTCCTCAGACATAACTGTTCAGTGAGCAGATGGTAAGAGGGCCTGTGTTCGTCCCCTCATTTGGGAGGCAAGGGGAGAAGATAGGCCTGAGAGCTTCCTGGAAAGAGGCCGGAGGAAAGCTGTAGATAAGGGACTCATCTGTCACATTGTAGAACGCTATATGTCCAGACTCATAGTCTAAGAAAACACCAACTTTATGCACAGGCTCTCTGACATGTTGACCTTTTAAAGGTGATGAGACCCAAAGACTATAATCATCTCCAATTTTTAAGCCTATAAGTGAGAAGAGGTCCCCCGGTGGCTTTGGTAGATTGCCCTTTCTGCTCACTGAGTCCTTGCAGATGCCTACTTCCCACTCAGTCTTGTTGCCCACTTCCACCTCCCAGTAATGTCTCCCACAGGTGAAGATCTGAGCGCCCAGCACCGTTGCTGACTGGTCAAATCGTTCTGGATTGTCTGGTAAGTGCTGTCGGACTCCTCCGTGCCTCACGCTCTTCAGATCCTCAGACAGGACAAGATAGGCATTGGCTGTGGCTGGATCCAGAGTTATATCCGCTGCAAGAGGAGAAAAGAGTGAATCCTTCCTTCCATTCTTAAAGACCCTCCTACACATGTGGAATTTAAATTAAATTCTTAGTTTCCAATCCTACTTTTAAAATATGTATAATCGAGGTGAGTGTGATAAAGAGTTTTGTTTTGCTCAAAGCAGAATCTCTGGACCCTTCTCACACTATTTCACAAACACCAAGGGTAAATTCCTCAAAAGACACAGATGCGGGGCGCCTGTGTGGCTCAGCGGGTTAAGCCTCTGCCTTCGGCTCAGGTCATGATCTCAGGGTCCTGGGATCGAGCCCAGCATCCAGCTGTCTGCTCGGTGGGGAGCCTGCTTCCCTTCCTCTCTCTCTCTGCCTGCCTCTCTGCCTACTTGTGATCTCTCTCTCTCTCTCTCTCTCTCTCTCTGTTAAATAAATAAATAAATAAATAAATAAATAAATAAATAAATAAAATCCTTAAAATGACATAGATGTAAGTCATGGGGATGGTGACATTTAGCGTGTCTGAGAGGGAAGAGAGGAGTCTCTGATATAATGGAGTGGAAGTTCTGTTCAGAGCACAGGTTTAAAACTCAGAGCTGTTTATCCATACGGGGCACACTCTGTCATTTGTAGTCACTTGAGCCAAGGTTGGCTGTGGTTCTCCACCTGAGGGGGGAGACAGAGACAGGGGCACTTCTGCTCTGAACGTCTGCTTACCTGCCAAGCGTTTTCTCTACACTGTCTCACTTAATCATGCCATTTCCACCCACCCCCATCTTTATAAAAGTGGAAACTGAAGCTCACAGAGGTTAGGAAACTTGACCAAGATTACAAAATCACTGAGTGTTTGCACAGCAGTTTCCAGTTGGCAGGTTTCATTATGTCAGGCTTCAACGCAGCTCCTATGAGTTAGTGAGACCCTCCCCGCCCAAGACCAGTCGGTAAGTACATCGTGAACCAGTGAGAGACTCCCCTCTCCTATCTTCTGAGAGGAGGTCACAGAAGAGGCTTCCAACCATCACTGACCCCCCGAGATAAGACTAAGTGCCCCTACCACACAATTTCATACTCTTACTTATAGATCAAATCCTAATCATCACTTATTATTGGAGATGAACATCTGTCTCCTCAATTCCACTGGAAGTTCTATAAAAGTAAAGGCAAGCCTGTTACTCATCACTGTGAGAAAACTTAGAACTGAAGAGCATGGAGTGGGGCATATAGTACTCACTTATCAAATTTCTGTTGATTCCAAAGTCCATCAGACCTTCCCCTGAAGGCCAGATTGTCTTACCTCTGAAGGTAAAAGTTGAAAACTAAGGCTAACCTCTCTTGGTCTTAGCCAGCCTAAATATCTAGAGCATTCTAAAAGAATAGTTTGAGGGACACCTGGGTGGCATAGTCAGCTAAGCGTCTGACTCTTGTTTTAGGCTCGGGTCATGATCTCAAGGGTCTTGAGATCAAGCCCCGAGTCTGGCTCTGCACTGGGCCTGGAGGGGGCTTGAGATTCTCTCTCTCCCTCTGCCCCCCTCCACCTCACTTCTGTCTCTCTGTGTCTCTCTCTCAAATAAACAAACTTTAAAAATTTTTTTTTATATATAAAAGGATTGTTTGAATGTTGCCTCATGAGAACTTTCAAGTTTAAGTAGCTTTTATGCTCACAAGAACAGAGGTAGAAATGCAGAAACCCCTGAGGAGGTGTGTGTGTATAGGCAAGGCGAAGAAATGGACAAAACAGAACCATAAACACAAACAAAGGAAGTGCCAGGACTTCTTAGACGGAAAACAAAGGCAAATGAGACATCAATCAAGTGTGCTTCTGTCTGCTCCAGAACAGAGAAGGTCTGTGGCCCCAGCCCTCCCTGATGTTTCGTGCTGACTCAGGGTGCCTTTGTGAGAGAGCCTGGCACACAGATGGTGAACAGTCTATCTCAGAGGAAACTGGCTTAAAGCTCAATTTTGCATTCCTTAGTACACCCTGAAGTTAACTCCACAAATCCCTGGAGGTTTGGCAAATCAGACTGACTTACTGCTGAATTTTTTTAGCATCTCCCTCATTCCAGTGATGCGGCAGAGAGTCAGTTCCGTGGTGGTGGCTTCTGGACATTGAAGCAAGAGTGGCTCAGTCCTGCAAGAGGGCAGAGACCGTCACTCTGTGTCCCCTGCACGGACTGCGTGACCTGCTCCAACATGAGGGTTACGCTTGTTTTGCCCCAACAGCTGGACAATCTCATCCCCACTCTCACAACCTGATCTCCACAGCAGTGCAGCCCTATAACTTATACCCCTGTGTCCACTGGACACGGAATGCACACCTACCTTTCCAGGGTGCCTTTCACATCCTAAGGGAATAAAAGAAAGAGGGTTAATATCTGTGCACCTCGGTCTCTAGCAAAGCCAGAATCCAGAGACAGAATCTAGTCCTTGGTAATCTCACAGAAGCCACTTTCCATAGCTTTAGAACACCCTGAGTGGGCGAGCATGTAGTAGGAAAACATTCCCAGCTTCTTCCCGGGGTGGGGGCCAGGGGTCTCCTATGAACAGGGGATCGTTTTCACAATGACTAGACTACTTTGTCCTTTTCTTCCCTTGTACCATCACTTTGTCAAGAGAACCTGATGCTGATGTAGGAACCCAGGAAGTCTCCTGTTGCCTCAGGGAGTCAACGATGGGCAAAAGCAAGGGGTCCTCTGAGCGCTGAGGCTAAGCATGCATGCAAGTGGAGTGGGTTGCTGGAAAATCACCAGCGAGTCTAGGAAGGAGAACTACAGCTGCAGCCGGGTCCTGCAGCTCGTGTTTACAGAGGCCCTGGAGAATAAAGCAGGAGCCCAGGAAGGCGGCCGAGCAAAGATGGTGAAGAATCCGGGCTCCATACCAAATACCTCATTTCGATCCCCAATTAGCTATCTGACGGGCAAATTTCCTAACTGCCATGGGTCTGAATTATTAAAGGAGGGCCGCTATAAACCCACATCGTAGACAACAATCACCTGTAGTGCATATAACAATAATTAACTTCATCAGGTCTTTGTGACGATGGAATTTACTGTGCCAGCAGCACCTAGGAAATGTTCATTAAACTTAAAATAATGGATGAAGCTGAAGTTGCAGACAAGCAAGCAGAGCAGAAATTGGACTCTTCATCAGGCTTGTTTGGATAAGTATTCCACTGTTTTGTTTTTGTTCTTTTCTCTCTCTCCTCAAGACTTAATTTATACTATAGAATATTAATTCTCGGGGCACCTGGCTGGCTAAGTCGTTAAGCGTCTGCCTTCAGTTCAGGTCATGATCCTGGGGGTCCTGGGATCGAGCCCTGCATCCGGCTCCCTGCTCAGCAGGAAGCCTGCTTCTCCCTCTCCCACTCCCCCAGCTTGTGTTCCCTCTCTCGCTGTCTCTCCCCTCTCTCTGTCAAATAAATAAATAAATCTTAAAAAAAAAATATTAATTCACAAGGAAAACTGTTTTGGGGCCAGAACTGAGTTTCTCAGGTAAATAAAGAAAAAAACTTATTTTGCTTGGCTTGTAAAGTTATGGGTTACTACACACTGTTGTGGTTATTCCATTGATTTTTCCCAACATTCTTACCTCAAAAGATTCTATAATGGAGTTCAGACATGTGGACTCTATCTGTTCAATCATTTTGCTCAGGCTTCTTGTTTGTTGGGTCAGCTTGATTTCGTTGTCCCTTAGTTTCTTCATGTTCTCTCTTTCCTCCTTTTCCAGTAACTGGAGCTGCAGCTGCTCCTCCTCCTTCAAAAACTGGTGCATTTTTGCATATTCTGACACAACAACCTGTTTACAGGCCTTTGTCTCTTCCTGCCGTCAACACACACACACACACACACACACACACACACACAGGAATGATATAATAAAGTTAGCACAGAAATGCCTATGTAGATTTTCAATCCTTACAAAGTCCTAGAGTTCTGCTGTGACAAGTTTTGAAGCCTGACAGGCAACATATATTAAGTATTAAGTAATTAAGTAACACATAAGTATTAAGTAATGGGGTAGATAGCATGATATTTTAGAAGGTATATACATATACAGTAGTAAACAAAACCAAAATTTCTATTCCCAGAAGGCTGTCATTCTAGTGTGGAAAGAAACAAAAATAAGCTATGACAGGTGGTGATCCATACCACGGTAAAAAAAAATAAATAAAGGACAAAAATACAAAAAAAGCATGCGTTTGCTTATTTACTAAATATCCAATGAAAGTAGACATTGGATCACATCCTAGAAATAGAGATGCACATCACAAACACTCCCATTTAAGAACTCGGTGTATTGGGAGAATAAGATACACACACATATTTTTTAAGTATTTAACTAAACAGTTAGGTCTTGGTTAGACACCTCAACTTCAAATCTATCACTAAGTCAAGCATTTGTTCAGGTGTATTAATCCAACCTATTATTTGGCCTTTATATCCCTTTGTCTTTATTTTTTTTTTATTTGCACTCCTTTTTCCCAAAAGCATTTGAGATATTCCTTTTCTATGGATTTTCATCCTATGTTGTCTATAACTTATAATTTTAAATAATTATAATCAGAGCCATAATAGAGGTAGCCATCAAGTTGTATGGATGGACCAAGAAGGAAAAAATAAATAAATAAGCAGGCCTAGGGATGGGGGAATTGTTTGAACTGAGTCTTGGGATTCCCAGGTGGACAAGCAGAGGCAGACAGCCCAAACTAAGGACACTGCATACTGTAGGACTATGATTAGAAAATTGTGTCTTTTTCCCCTGGTATTTCACTAAGTATCCCTCCAGTCTCCCTCATAGAATCATCTACAAGACCCAAAAGTAAGACAGATACTGACCTTGCACAGTATTACTCTCTCCTTCTCATGGGTTAATACAACCTGAGTTTCCTTTCTCTTTTTATGCAAAAGATTTAGGATTTCCTGGAGTTTCTCCTGCAATAGAAACAAATTCTCTGTGGCAAGTGAGCAGAGCACCAACTTGTGAGGAAGCCTTGAGGACCAGTGAACACAAGATGAGCGGGATCTAAGACAAAGGGTGAGGCAGGATCCACACCAAATTTGTGGTCTGGTGCCTGGAGACCAGCACCTGTAATCATCACCAATAGAGAATATTATGGGAATAAATGATAAAACAGGATTTGTATTCTGAGATTTATACTGAGCAGCCAATCTTACTTTGTGACGCTCCTCAGCTTCACTCAAGGGATGCAATCTGTTTATTCCATGACACTGAGTTGAGAAAATGTTTACACCCTGCCCATCCTCAGAGAACACCTTAGTGCCTGCCAGCATTCTTGCATAGATGTCTTGTTCACCCTCATTCTGCAGCACTTGGGATCGGAGCTGCTTGCCGATGCCAGCCAGCCTCCCCAAACGCTCGTTGGGCTGAAAGTGTGGGCTCTCCAAGGACCTCCAGCATTCAGGACAGGATAAAGGAGTGTTGTGTTCCTCCCAGCTCCTCAGGAGACACACTAGACAAAAACTGTGCCCACACTCAGTAGTCACGGGGCTGGTGAAATAGTCCAAGCAGATGAAACAGGTCAGTTCTTCCCTCAGATTCTCCATCAGATCTGCTGTAGACATTTTCTCCAATAAGGACATCAAGGCAAGGGCACGCCTCTATTCCAGCATTAGAAAAGTCCTCCCTGGCGTTCTACTGTTTTAAATAACAGGTGGGTGATCAGTTGTTACGCTGTTGATACAAGAAACTCTTACTCTCCTCTGTGCCTGATTTCACCAGTTGGCACATACTGTCCCAACACAAAGCCAATTATGACTTAATGTGGAACCCTTGTTCATAATCAACCCCAAACTTTCAAGGAATATTTCACTGTGCAAGCTATATGCTGGATACTGAGGGTACTTGCTCTGAACAAAGTTCTGCTTTCAAGAGTGGGCTACAGTGTGTGTATGTGTGTGTATAAATATATAGCACCAGGAAAACATTTAGGTACATTGATTTTAGGCTGGAAGGTTAGGTAATTTGGTGTAAGCCAGTACAGAGATTTAAGTTACGATGAACTCTAATAATATCTAAATTGGAAATATGGTCCAAATCTTTTAGAAAACTCCACTAATAGAATCTAGTTGAGCAACTGAAGGCAGAAAACTGTAACATATATTCCTCCTCTCATTAGGCCCTTTTTATGTACTTGACCAAAGCCTAAAATCTTTTTGCTCCTTAATCAGGTACTGTGTACTTTTATTTAATTTTATTCAACCTAACAAAATGAGAATGAATCCATTGAAATATTCCCGAACTTTAAATGTACAAAGGATTACCAGAGTTATATTTATTGCTCTGTCCTACAGACCATGATACTCACCTCTCCACCACCATAAGCAGCATGTCCACAACACTGTGGAGTGGATGGAAAAAAAAATTGTACTATAGTGTAAATATAATTTTGTTCACTTATTTTCACTCTTTGAAACTAGGCCTTCTTAAACCCCCTATCAATTCTTACTGAAAAGAAATCCAATGCTCAGATATTTTTAGACCTAGGGGGAAAAATGTATAGTATAGAGACTGTATACAATGACCACTGAGATTATAAGTGCCTTAACCTATACATTTGCATTGCCATATGGATCTGAGGCAGTACTTGTCATGGCCTACCACTGCTCACTGTCTGCCAGAAAGTGCAAAACTCAAAAGCTCTTCCTTGAAGTATAGCCCATTTCACCCTCCCACTAAGTTCCTCATACCTTATTTCTGTTCTTAGCCTGTCATACTCCAGCACTGACTACCATCCATGGGTCTCCATCACCCATACTTTTTTGTTGATTTCTTTCTTTCACGGTTCCCACTGATTCTTCTTTCCCTCTTATCTCCAACAGGATGTTGGATGTTTTCATACCTTGAACTTTTGTAAAAAGAAGTTTTCTGGACTGAAATTTTTTTTTTCCATGTTCCTTTCTCTTACTCAAAACTCATCTTTCTGAAGTTATCAATCCCAATGTTTTAATCATATGTCCTTTGTGTAGCATTTGTGAATTACTGAGATGAGAATTTACAAAAACAACAACAGCAAAACGCAGCGGAGTTATACTAATTTAGATAGAAAGAGAGGTAGCCCCAGTTTGGGGTCATTAAACCTCTACTCCTTAGACTCCGTCTAGCCTAGTAACTGAGGTACAGCTTCACAATATTGATTGGGAGTTAGTCTTTAGTAAGGGTCTTGCAAAAAACAAACAAACAAACAAAGCCAAGAAACCTGTAACAACACTAACCACCTTCACTGGAAAAAAGGATTTATGAACTACCATCTACATTCAGTGTGTTATTCCCACACAAACCTAGAAGGAGACTTTAACACTGGCCAGGATCATTAGAATGAACCTTACAATAGAAATATGAGGCATCACAGATCCTATATTCCAATTTGGAATGAGGAAACTGGGATGTTCTAAGTTCAGGTCACACTGATCTGTTCCATCCCATGTCCCTCTGTTAAGCAAACTCTTTTCATAAACTCCTTAACACAATGAACGTATCTTGCTCATCAGTAACTAGAAGAATTCTTTGTATATAGCAAGGGCTCAAATTCTTTGTAAATAAGTTGTAAATGAAAAAAATATAGGAACCATATTCTTAGAGAATCACAGTCTTTTATCTAGCTGGAAACCAAGAATTATATAGTCCAACTACTTTCTATAGCTAGTGAAGAAAATTGAGATAAATTGAGTTGGTCCCCTGACTACTTGCTTACTACATGAATCAAGTCAGGACTAGGAAACTGGGCTTCCTACCTCCCAGTCATTCTCTTTTGTCCATGTACTACATTGCATATCACTTGCTGACTTGGGAATGGTTGAAATTTTCCAGGTCTCTCAATAAAATGAACATTGCTCAAATGTTTCAGAAGGAAACTGGACAGCTGTTGTGATGGTGTGATGTTGCGACGGGTATCTTGAATCACTGGCTACACTCATTACTGGTGATACAGACTTCTTTCCCCTCTCTCACAACACACTGACTGAGCTTAATTCATAGATGAAGAAATTTATACATAACTCATAGAAAAAGAGTGGGCCAGCCATCCCAAAGTACATTATACCAATCTTCAGGACACTGCACTGCCAGACATGATTTCTGAGATCAACAACTTAGGGCTTCTTCTCTGACCTATCTCCTGCAGAGAGAGGTGACAGTAGGAATACCTTAAGATGTCCACAGTCACAACTGCCATCCACATGTTATTAGGGCTGGAGCACATGGAAAAGATGAATCTTAACAATATAGTGAGAGCATCTTTATTGGTGAAGGCAGTGGGCTAGATGGGGACTTATTTGAAAAACATATTGCTTGAAAGCCTGGTTTAAAAAATATGTCTGTCATTTCATATCAATATGGAAAAGATAGATTAACCAACAACTGGTTTGGGACAAGTGGGGGTAGCCATCTGGGAAAAAAAATAGACAAAGTTAGATCTCTACCTAACAACTTATACCAATGTGTATTCCAGATGTGTGTGTGTGTGTATTTTCCCTACTCTCGTCATGAATTTATACTCCTATTATTTCCCTCTGTATTGTATTTTTTTACCTTATTTATATTATTTTATTTTTAATGTGTTTTTGTTCTAGAGTACCCCACATCTATTTAGCAAATGAGGAGAATATTTGTTAAATATGTGGTCAATTATTGTGTCCAAAAAATGAAGCACATCATAAGAAGAGATAATTGGTAACATAGAAATTTAAAATAGACTACTTAGAAAAGACTTTTTAAAGCATGCGTCAGAGCTTAGACACCACTAAATAAAAGATTAATAAATTTAAATAGAAATTAAACACTTTTATACAGCAAAGTAAATAAAATAACTTTTTTTTTTCATTACAATCTGGGAAAGAGAATTTGGAACACATGCATAAAATACCTAATCACAAATTACAAAAAAGGGCTTACATAAATATATACTTAAAAATAATAGTTCTTCTTTAAAAAATATAGCTTTTCTTACTATTAAATGGCCATTTTAGAAATGACAGATCAGTATATACACACTGACATGATATGATATCCAGTATATATTAACAGGAGAATACATTTTTACTCCCACAAATAGTTTAAGCATAAATAATAAAAAATAGGTTATATATGTATTTTTTTCCTACAAAAATGAGGTCATGCTATAGATATTGAAAATGCATCTGTGTACATGAAGGCATAGAAAGAGTATGGATTCTGGGGTGCCTGGGTGGCTCAGTCAGTTAAGCATATGACATGATTTCAGCTCAGGTTATGATCTCAGAGTGGTGTGATTGACTGTTTAAGATTCTCTCTCTCTCTCTCTCTTCCCCTCCCCCACTGCTTGCACCTACACACACTCTCCCTCTCAAAAAAAAAAAAAAAAAGAAGAAGAAGAAGAAGAAGAAGAAAGAAGGAAGGAAGGAAGAAAAGATTTCATGAATATGACACCAAAAGCACAGGCAACAAGAACAATAATAGACAAATGGGACTACATCAAACTAACAAGCTTCTGCACTACATAGGAAACAACAGAGTGAAAAGGCAACCATTGGATTAGGAGAAAATATTTGGAAACCATGTATCAGAATGGATTAATTTCCAAAATACATAAGGAAGTCCTATAAATCAATAGCCCCCTCCAAAAAACCCCAGTTGCCAAATACAAAATATGGGCTAAAGACCTGAATAGACATTTCCCTAAAAAACATACACAAAAGACCAACAGGTATTTGGAAAGATGCTCAACATCACTAATCATCAGGGAACCATAAATCAAAACCACAATGAGTTATCACCTCACACTTGTCAGGATGGCCACTATACATTAAAAGGAGAAGAAAGAAAGAGAAAGAAAGAAAGAAAGAAAGAGGACAAACATTGATAAGGATGTGGAAAAATTGGGACTATTGTACACTGTTGGTGGGAATGCAAAACGATGTGACTGCCATAGAGAATAAGATGGAGATGTCTCAAAAATTAATAATAGAACTGTCATAGGATCCAGCAATCCTGCTTCTGGGTATTCACCCGAAAGAAAACTGAAGTTCTGGAAGAGGTGTTGGCACTCCAGTGTTCACTGCAGCCTTATTCACAAAAGCTAAGATGTGGGAACAACCTAAATTTCCATTTATATATGAAAGGACCAAGAAAACTGTGCATATATGCACAGGGAATATTATTCAGCCTTTGGAAAGAAGAAAATTCTTTGATAAGTGACAACATTGGATGAACTGTGAGGACAGCAAACTACGTGAAATAAGGCAGTCATGAAAGGACAAATCCTGGAAGTTCCACTGACATGAAGTATGTTATTTTAAAATAGACTCAGGGACGCCCGGCTGGCTCAGTCAGTAGGGCGTGCGACTCTTGACCTCAAGGTTCTAAGTTTGAGCACCACACTGGGTGTAGAGATTACTTTAAAAAAAAATTTAAATCTTAAAAAAAATAAAAATAGAAAAAACAGACTCAGAATCAGAAAGGAAAATGGTGGTTGCCAGAGGCCAGGAGAAGACAGAAATGGGGAGCTGTTAATCAAGGGGCATAAAGTCTCAGGCAAAGTAAAGAAATTCCAGAGATGTCTTGAACAGCAGTGTGTCTATCATTAACAGTATTATACGGCACACTTGAATTTTTGTAAAGAAGGTAGATCTCATGTTAAGGGTTCTTACCACAATAAAATAACATTTAAAAGGAAAGAAAACATATGGAAAGATATATACTGCTGCAGTGGAATTGGAGAATTGGAAGGCCTAACTTATACTTCTTTATTTTATAAAATTTTGTATAAAAATATAGTTTCTCTCTCTCTTTCTAACTTCTTAATGTGTTTTCAACATTTTGGCAGTAAAGAAATTTTGGGGAATAGGGCAGGAGCAAAGAAACATGAGGTGTGACTTGCAGTAAACCAATTAATGAGGTGATTTTCTTCAGGTTGAGGGATAAAAATATCTCAGAGGATTGGTTTCAGCTGTGATATAATAAAATGGTGGTGGTGACTTTATGATTTCAACATACTTTTTATGTAACTACTAGATATTGAACCTCAGCAAGTGATATAAATATGACTAAAAATTATTTCTCTTCTTTGGGAGAAGGAGATATGTGTGCAAAAAATAAAAATAAAAAAAACCAACAACCTTGTAAAGCATTTAAAGAGGTGTGCTTGAAGCACACATGGAGTATTTAAATTTATTAAAATTTTGGCATTTTTAGTGCTGGAACAATCAGGGAAAACTTCTTGGGAGAAACTGCATTTGACTTAAACTAAGGGCTTATGTACATTTCATACAAAAGGACAGCTACTATTTAGAAATGAGAAAAATTTTGGTAAATTTAAAGAATAAAAGACGCTCTGACAGTGGGTCAAAATATTACAATAACAAAAAGTGTCTATTGTAACATTCTTTTCGTCTCAGAAATAGTTTTTTAAAAACCAATTCAGCTTGGAAATAGTCACTTCTCTGATTCTTTATAGGTAGCAGGTTGGTCTGACCGGTGATCCCTGGAGGCCCGCTCATCAGGGAAGGAGCCCTGGTACTGTAACTTCAGGATTCAGGATTCCGGTGAAAAGCTGCAACCCAGCCATCACGCCTGCTGACATACGCAGGTGGGGAGTCCGCTTCCAGACTTTTGACCACAAACAAGAATTTCAGAGGAGGTGTTTTTGTTTGTTTGTTTTTCTCTAGAGTAGACCCTTTCTTGTTCCTCCCTTTGCTTTATGAAGAGTTAACTGTTGGAAATGTACTTGCTCCCGGCTTCATGCTGGGCAGTTTATGTCCTTTGTCTCTTAAAACGATGAAAAGAGAAGCCAAAGAAACTGTAGGAGTTGGGATAGGAACAGAAAACTTTTTAAAAGCTGTTCAAACACATATTGGCAATTAAGAATAAAAAGACATAGTCTAAAGTGAAGATGCACAGCTAAGAGACTCTTAACGTCTTTCTCCTTTTTAATGAGGATTATGGGGCTTGAGATTATTACAGATAATTTGAGCTACTAGGCGACTAAGATTACCATCCATAAAGGATAAGACTAGATTTTTCTTAAAAACAAAAACAAAGCATTACAACAACTTAAGGGGCACCTCGGTGGCTCAGTTGGTTAAGCACCTGCCTTAGGCTCAGGTCATGATCCCAGAGTCCGGGGATGGAGTCCCACCTCAGTTGGGGAGCCTGCTTCTCCCTCTGCCTCTCTCTTTCTGTCTCTCATAAATAAATAAAATCTTAAAAAATAAAAAATAAATACAAATAAAAAAACTTAAGAGTGCAAAAGTCACTTGTTTTTGTCCTACTCCTATCATAGGACACCCCTTCTGTCTGTCACTTAATCCTGCAGGAATTATGAAACATCTTCACGTAGCTGGTGGTATACTATACCCAGTAGATTAGATAAATATGAACAATCATCCCTATTAAACTAGTATTTTATAGGTAGGAAACAGATTCTTATGTCTATACATGTAGGTCCCCACCTTTTTAATGGGGAAGTCTACTTGTCTCTTAAGAAAATCTTAACATTTGTTTATAAGATTCTTAATCTCTCATCATAAGTCAGTATTTTTATGGGGGAAAAAAACCCATGAGACTGAGTAATACAAATAGAGTGTGCTGGCTCTGTGCCAGGCACCATTCTCAATCCTTTAATATAGTTACTCATTTAATCCTCCCGCAGCCCTATGACGTGGGTATTCTAGCACCGTTTACAGATGAGAAAACAAACTGAATATGAACCTTGCCCTAGATCCACAGAGGTGGCCGGACTGCAGAGTCCAAGCTAGTACCCACAGAGCAAGACTTCCGTTGTGCCACAAATATTAAACTCCAAGTGTTTACAACCGTTACCAAACACTGGTTTGCTGATTGTGCAAGGATCCAGTCAAGCCGCCACTAAAGGTGGCTGGCTGAGCACGCTCCCAGCCTCTCCCATCTATCTAATGGTAATTGGCTCCAGAAACAGCCAGGGGGCGCTCCTCATAAGTTTTTATGTTGTTTGCAACCCCAGGTGTTAGGGTCAGAGAGGGCGCTCACTTTGAGGTATGTTATGTTTATAATGACACAACTTCTTACTTATTTTATGTCACTGTTCAAAGTTATTACGGTATTGACGATATTCCCTATGATGGACGGAGACATAGCTTTTTAAAAGAGCTAGTGGGAGCTCTTGGGAAGAAACAAAATTGGTGCTGCCTTCACCATCCTAGTCCTTTCTTGGCCTTTGAGGCCCAAACTAAAAAAATATTTGTGGGGCTAGAGTACCAATATAGTTGGAGAGAATTTTAAAGAATGTGGGTCCTAGCCATAGGAGCTCATGAACCAAAGCAACTCATGCAATTTACGAGACACTGTGTGTCGCTGGGGAAAACTACTGGTGTGTAAGAACTAAAAGCTGAAGGCCTGTAAGGAGCTGTGACCTTGGGTGTGGGTGGGGAAGCGGGCAGTATTGCTCTGATCCTGGTTGAAAAGCTAAGGAAAACTAAAGAAAGATTTTTAGGGGTATCAGGGATGGTACAACTCCCTAAAAGACTGAAGTCTTTGCCGGCAGGGCAACTGGGGCACAAAGTCTATTTTGTGGTCTCAGGCTGGGTTAGGATTTACGTTTCACATATGCTTCCTTCTGTGTGCCCTATCATGCCTCCTTTAGATCCTTCTGGTCTTAGAGTTGTAGTTCTCAAGCTTAGCTGCATAAAGAATCACCTGAAAACACCTGAAGCCCATGGTCTCTTTCCAGAGATTCTGATTGAATTCCTAGTGCCCTGATTGGAATGGAGGACTTGGGCCAGCATCAACACAACTTGTTAGACATGTCAGCTCTTGGGCCCCAACTCAGACCCACTGAATGAGAATTTTGGGGGGCGAAGTCCAGCAATCTGTGCCTTAACCAGATGCCCACGTGATTCTGATGTTTGGATTCTAAAGTTTGTAAGCCACAAAGGTGTCACCATAGCTACAGCTCTCCAGGTAATTCTGTGCAACGATGTTTGAGAACCACAACTTTAGCAAAACTACGCCGCACACATGAGGTTCCAGAGCAGCTGCAGGTCAGTCCCCAGCGTGGACGTAGGGGGTGAAGAGCATCTGAGAGAAGTCAGGAGAGGGCCTTTAAAGTCCCAGACAACTTCTCAACAGGGTAAGAATGGCGGTTAAAAACACAGCTATGGGTGCCCGGGTGGCTCAGTGGGTTAAGCCTCTGCCTTTAGCTCAGGTCATGATCTCGGGGTCCTGGGATCAAGCCCTGCATCCGGGCTCTCTGCTTGGCAGGGAGCCTGCTTCCCTCTCTCTCTCTGCCTGCCTCTCTGCCTACTTGTGATCTCTCTCTGTCAAATAAATAAATAAAATCTTTTTAAAAAATTAAAAAAAAAATAAAAACACAGCCGTGAGTGATAAGAGAGGATGAAGGAATGTGATCGTGAGCCAGTGCCAAAGACAAAGCTCTGCTTGTGCCAAAGAGTGGATTGGAATGAATGATTTTTGTTTCCCCTTCTTAATCTTTCTCTGCCCCCACTGAAATCCACCTCCAATCCACCAGACTTCCTGAAAGAGCTGACTTGTTCTATCTGCTTATGCTCTTTGAACCATTTGCAACTGACCGTGGACACAGGTCTTGCTAGAGTGTCTCTTAAGAAACTGGAAGGAAAGCCCCCATTGCACCTGCCTCAAGGTCAAGGATATGTACAAGGTGAGAGATTGGAGGTGTACCCTGCAGGTAGGGATGATGGCTAAGATAACAAAGTCCTTGGGAAATAGACTTAAAAACTCATATGTGATCCTAACCAAGAGAGACTGAAGGGGGTCTGTATAGTAGATCTGATGCTCCTTCGTGAGATTTGTTTTCTCTCTTGGGAATAGGAGTCTCACTGTGTTTACCACTGAGAAGGAGACAGGAATCTTTGAGGTAAGATTGTCTTGTCTTTCAGTCTCAACCTTACTACTTTGGGTTTTTAATGTGATATGCATTTAAATTATTTTCCTATCCCTGAGCTGTCAATCATGGAGGTTTGGGAGCCCTAAACGATGCTTTTTGACTAGGAGTGATTTTCACCCTGTAAGTCCTGCCTAAGTGTGCTATAACTTATATTTGTATAGTTCTAGCATAGCAACCTCTGAGAGGAGTGAAGAGTGAAATTTTCTTTTCAGAATGAGGTCCAAGAAATCCTAACAAGAGAGCATGTCCCTTGGAAGAGAGAAATGAGCAGGTAAGTGTACCTAGACTCTGCTGAATCAGAATGCACACATAATCAAGGAGGAGTCTTCAGTGAACCCAAGGCTGTAGCTCCGTCTTTAGGCTATAGTTCTGCCTTTACAAGAGCATCCAAACACCAGTTAACTCCAGTGCGAGGACCTGAACCATACTAAAGGCTGGCCTCGATGCAATGATCATTGATGACAGGTGAAATTCCAAGTCCAACTACCTATCAGACATCCTTGGAATTATAGTAGGTCTAGAAATTGACCATTGGGCTAGAAATTCCATGCTCTACAATGCAAAATAAAAGAGTTGTTGCAGAAAATCACATTGGTTTAAACAGGACTGGTTCAAACCAGCAAATTGCAGTTTTGCTCCAAGTAAAATCTGCTGAAGGTTAAGTACGTGGATACAGACAAATGCAGGAATCACCACTGTGGTAACCTGTCCACTGACATGACGGCCATTGACCTCATACATTCCCTGCCTCGGTTTAACCAGATACTAACTTGGAGATGCTTACTGGGTTGTTCCTGTGTGCATTTTGTCCTTGCCTTCCCACCTCCCTCAGCCTCAACCCTTCCCAAAGCCTGTCAAATAATTTTACTCCATGAAAAAACTGTTGAGATTTTTCTGTTGTTGTTCATCATGTATTTTAATCTACTCCATGACTTTTTTTTTTTTTTTTTGAAGACTGTTAATGTTTTTATAAGCATCTGGTTCAAGTTGCACCGGGATTGGGCGTCCTGTTCCAACACTTATAAAAGCACTATTAGTGTATGATTTGGCGGAGTGAGGGGTTGTGTGTGTGTGTATGTGTGTTTAGGAAAATATGTTACATAACAAATGCCTATATATAGAAAATAGAGTATTCCCCTCAAGATCAAGCTGGATTTAAATGAAAAGGACACTTAAAGAGTCCAGGAAGACAGTCATATAAAAATCTATCAAATGATAGGTGCTTGTTAAGAGCAGGGAGGTGTGTCTTAGGCTTAGGAATAGAAAGCTGGAGGGGCTATCAGGTCACTAACATGGTAAACTTGAGAGCGCTGCCAGGGCCTCTAACAAGATCCCGGTAAGTATCCCTGTGTATATATCTATTTTGCCACTTGAAGCAGGCTGCAAAGGAACTGCTAAAAATAAACAAAAATGCACCTAGGACGGGATTTATCAGTTATGGTGTGATCTCTGGTTCCTAAGTGACCCTGATGGAACCCTCTGGCTATCTGCAGCCTCCACACTCATACCCAACTGAAGTTCCCAGTCCAGTGTAACTTCACTTAATGAAAAAGCTAAATATTCCCTAGTGCATTAGCACCTTTTTAACTGAAGTAAGAACTATAACCAGATTCTTAAGATTTTTGTATTGAACATGTGAAATCTACTCCGTGTTCTTCCTAATATGCAGGACAATGTGGCTTGGCGTAATAGCGACGTAATTCCAATTACAACCTACAACTGAATCATTAGATTTGGGTTCTAAGTAGATCTTAGAGATCTAAATATATGCAAAGAACTGTAATATTTACCAACTTCAGTTTCATTATTTCTATAAGCTTAAGTTACCACAAGAATGTCATGCCTGGGGAGGTTTTAAGTCAAACCTCTGAAGTAGTCAAAGATACTGATTAGATTCAATTGATAACTACAGCCCGACTACCTCAAATGGTTTAGCCCTACAAATGGAACCAAACACAAGGCTTTTTGTGTGGTGAAGTTTGCTAGAATTATATAACAAGACTCAACTAAAACGTAGACATTCTTAAGTTTGCAAATTTGGTGTTTTTAAAACCAAACAGTCTAAATTCCTTGGAGGCACACTTTACCCTCAGCTTGTGTTCTACAGGAAAGCCCATGTGTGGAAAACCCATAGGCAACACTATGTGAAAGTCTAATAAAAGGTTTTGGAAGGTGGAGACCGAACACATCTAGATGATAGGGGGAAAAAACAAAGAATGTGTTTGTTCTGTATTTAATAATAGCTTTCCCTTCAAACCACCAATCACTTTAAAGAAGATATCAAGCTTTTTCTTGACTGTTTGCACAATAAGGAGCACCTTAAAAATGAGTCCAAGAGATGAATGAAAGCTACCTGAGCAGGATACGGGGAATCCTGGTTTTCCTAGCCCTCCCCTATATCCTACCTTCTTAGCGTCAGCTTCCTTGAGGCAGCATTTCCAGACCTCCTTAGGTAACCAAATTCCTCTTCTCCTCTAGAAGCCTTCTATTCCTTTGTACATCTCCTTCATGGTCTTTGTGTTGCAGTTTATTATTTTTTAAATTATCTATCTCTTGCATTAGATTGCAATTTCCTTGTGTCAGTGTTTTTTCAAACTCTTGTGCATGACACATTGGAAGAAAGGCTTTTAATATGAGTGCTTCATGAACTGTGTGTCCCAAATTAACTTTGCCAGGAGAAGGTACTCAGAGTCATTATTTTTTAATTGTGGTAATGATTCAATAAACTGATAGCAACATACAGGCTAGACAAATTAATCTACGAAGGTAAGAAAATGTTTGTGTTTTTATAACGTTTTGTTGTAACAATTCTGTGGGTATGGAAGCAGATAATTAGTCAGATTTTTAAAAATGGCTGGATGAGAAATTTAACTTTCATCTGTATGTTACAGTTCTTTGTAAGACTCCCTTTGAAGGATTTCACTTCTTAAACTAGACAACTATAGCTAAAAATAGGTACTTGTTACTAGTTGTAAGACTGGAACATGCCACTAACTTCAACCGGGATGGAATTTCACAGTTCACTGACAATCTAACAGCAAACCTTTTTATAAATGGGTGAGAAGTTAAAGCTGTTGCAAAAAGTTATAAGACTCTTCCTAACTATAGGAGACTTCTCTATAAGAGAGAGTACTGCAGAATCTGGTCAGAAAGCTGCTGAAACGAACAGCAATTCACTCATTTTACTGAACATGTTAAGACATTCAGGTAACTCAGGTGAACAGGTAAAGTAGGGCAAAAACTTAGAAAATAAGAAATTATGTCCAACCTTTTGATTTAGGGAGAAGGAATTGTCTTCCCCCTCTACAGGAAGTATAAATTATACTGGTCATGAAAAAAAAGTCCCAACTCAGAAATTCTTTTTCCAAGTTAAAGTCTGTGTCAAAGGTATCCCAGGCTCACTTTTGAGGCTTTCATTGTGATCTAACAAAATCTTGTTAAAACAGAATTCTTAATGTGTTCCCCATATCCAACATAAGCTGCAGAAGTTGCCTGAAAAATCCATTTCTAGCCCTATTTCTCTTCTTGGGCACCAAGTGGCAGTTCACCAGTGTCTGTATCAGCCTTATACTGCTGTGTAACAAATTACCACAAATTAAGCAGTTTGAAAACCTCCACTTATAAGCTCATTATTCCGTAGGTCAGAAATCCAGCACATCATGGCTGGGTTCTCTGCTCAGGATCTCACCAGGCTGAAATTAAGGTGTTGGCAGGGATGTGCTCTCCACTAAAGTTTAAGATGTTGTTCCAAATGCATTTAGATTGTAGGCAGAATTCAGTTCTTTGTTGTAACAGGACTGAGGACCCATTTTCTTAGCAGGAGAGGATGGCTCCCAGTTCCTAGAGGCCATTCCTTGATGAGTGCCCCATGTGCCCCAACCATTGCCTAAGCCCCACATCCCTCCTGTAGAATCTTTCTTTCCACCAAGAGCCCAGACCTCTTTAGGGGCTTACTGGATTAATTCCGGCCCATTTGGGGGCCTGCCTACCAGTGTCCATTTTGTATTTTGTTTCAGGCAGGATTTATCGAGGGAGTCCAGTGAGAAAAGGGAATAAGGAAACACAGTAACTCCATCCTTGTTCACAGACACCATTTTAAGATTATTAACTTTTCCAAGGTGGTTTTGAGTCTTGACCACAAAGACAGTTAGAACAGATGAGGACTTTCAGGTGAGGTTCAGCAATGGTGAAATTGAGCTAACTTAACAAGAACATAGACAGTTCCATCATTTTACTACGTCTCTAAGTTTGGAGCAATCAGTAAAGACCAAGGCTTATCCACATAGGACTAAGATCAAATGGAACTGTTCCTGACACACAGAGCCTAGATATAAATACTGTTTTCTTTTCCTACCCTCTTTTGCTAGGGTCTGCCAGTTTTGAGAGAAATTGTTTGGGTTTGCTGCTTTCCAATATATTCTGTCTTTTTTTTTTTGTTCTTAAATGCAAGTGGTTTAGAAAGCACAGATAGGGGGCGCCTGGGTAGCTCAGTGGGTTAAGACTCTGCCTTTGGCTCAGGTCATGATCCCAGGGTCCTTGGATCGAGCCCCGAGTTGGGCTCTCTGCTCAGCAGGGAGCCTGTTTCCTCCTCCCTCTCTGCCAACTTGTGATCTCTGTCTGTCAAATGAATAAATAAATAAAATCTTAAAAAAAAAAAAAAACAACACAGATAGTCTGAGTTCTTTACCACTTTTCCTTGCCTAAACTCCTTCCTAGCATACCACCCAGGCAAGGACATATAATTTCTTATAGCTCTTAGAGATGTCTTATTTCTTATAGTTCTCTATAGAGGTCTTTCCTCCCTAGGTTCTACCTTCCCTCCTTAGTTTCATCTCCTATCCCCCAGCACTTCCTCTAAAAGAAAACAAAGATAACCAGAATGATCACTGTTAGTCCCACAACAAGCCATTTTTGTTGGGTCTTTCAGAGCCAACTCTGGGACAATCAGTGTTATTAAAGGAACCCTCAGGTATTGATGAAGGATAGCGGAAGGCTGACAGGCTGGGACAAAGGACCACCCCACCCCCAAGAGGAAGCCACTTTTGAAAGGATTTTACACCACCTGGGAAGGAGCCCTCCACCCTTTCCCCTGTGATAGATAGATGACAAAAATCTGATTGGATGACAGGCTCTTGGAGGGTTAATCAGATTAAAACAGCCCCAAAAGCCCATAAAAACCCCTAGACTTAGAAACTTTGCGGCAACCCTCTACAGTCCCTTTCCTCTTCAGCGGGTTTGAACTGTGGCTCAATAAACTTCGTTATCACTCAATAAACTTTGCTTTGTTTCTCACCACTCTTCATCAGGTTTACCTCTTGGTTCTTCAAAGCAGCATAACCAAGAACCATGGGCACTAAAGGAGTAAAAAAACTAATGGCAGGTTAAACAAGATAGAAGAGTACCAGTAAAAAACTAATGACAGGTTAAATAAGAGAAGTTCTTTTACTCAATCTACTATCTGGAAAGGCACTGTACATCTAAGGACCTGGACTTCTCTTTTTATTTCTCTTAATATGTATAGCTTTCCCCAATAGAATATTAGACTCAAGAGAGCTGCTAGAGTTCCTGCTATTACATTCACATTGCAACCAGTTCTGGTCAAGTCTGTAAGGTTGGCTTTTGCTCATAGCCAGTAGTTTGAGCAATCTTTATATGTTTGATGTTAATCTTTTAACACAAGTGCACTTTCAGGTCCTGCAAGATGCCGTAGTTGCTCAGATGACTTCAAGGTGTGCAGCAGGCTTTTTGAGTCCTTGTTTTCTGTGAAGGGATGAGGATCCATCACTTACAGTGATCGTGCGCAAGCACATTTTAATATCTTGGTGATGGAGATAATGATTGAAAAGTATTTCCTTCCTAAGTAGGGACATGATAGAGACCAGTGATCTTGAAATTCTAGGATAAACATCTAATTAATAAACAGTATGTGCTTCAGTATAAATTAGTTACTACTCTTAAAGGGGCATAAAAATGCTCTATTTCTCATTTCCCTGTAACTCCTCTGTACCTTCTCTGCCACCTCAGCTGCACACTCCGTTTTCGGGAAGGCAATGCTCTTGACTCAGGAAGGAAAGATATTACTGCAGAGAGAAATTTCTCGTTACCCCCTTGCTCCTGTGTTTCATACAACTTCTCATAATGCTCCCATGTAAACAAAAGATGGTCATAATGATTCTCATTTTGCAGATGATGTTCAATATTCAGTGGCTTGCTGAAGGTCATGGCAGTTAGCTGGCAGAGCTGGAACCAAAATCCACTTTAGGCTAACTTCATCAATTAGACATGAAAGTCTTCTCAGTGTGTGATCTTGGGCAAAAACCTGACCTTCATTTGCTCAGGGTCCTAACAGACCCCAGCTACAGTGAGCCCCTCTGCTTTGTTGAAGATTCTCTGGTTAAAAGAGAGGAACTGATCCCAATGTTGGACTAGATGAGGTAAAGGTGACCTCTTCCTCTTACCGAGAAGGATTAGCTTCCTTTGAAAGAGTTAAAAAAAACAACAACCTGATAGGTTGGGTTTAGATAAGCCCTGATTTGCAAGTGAAAGGCAACAGTCCTATCATAGCAGTCTGCAAGGAATGTTTATTCTTAAATAATCCTTCAAGGAAATAGCTGGACTTGAACTTCTGGACGTCTTGGGAGTTGTGGGGAGCAGGCCAAAGAGTGCTAAGCCATTGCTGCTGATAGAACCACCTTGGAAAAGAAACCAGAGAACAGCTAGTCCTTCCTGAAGAATAACCACAAGGTGGCAGACCAAGAGCCACATCTCCACTACTTTCTAAAATGGGATGAGGGGGCTCTAATGCAGCAGAATGAGCCCAGAAGTAACAACTAATATCTTGTTTGGCACCAGCCATATTTGTCCTCCTCAGAAGCTGAGCATATGATACCTTGGGGTCTGTGGTGAGGGGACCCATGGCTAACAAATGTGATAGGACTGCACATGAAATAAGCTACAAGGACCATGACCCAATCATTTTGTTCTCTGACAATGTAGAAAAAAAAAATTTTTTTTTTAAAGATTTTATTTATTTGACAGATGGAGATCACAAGTAGGCAGAGAAGCAGGCAGAGAGGAGGAAGCAGGCTCCCTGCTGAGCAAAGAGCCCGATGCGATGCGGGGCCTGATCCCAAGACCCTGGGATAATGACCAGAGCGGAAGGCAGAGGCCTTAACCCACTGAGCCACCCAGGCACCCCGAAAAAAAAATTTTTAAACAAGGGCATGCCTATGTAAAAAGTTAACCCTTTAAATGATCTGTGCTCTTTATAATGTTGCTCTTGGCCTATAAAAGAATCTTGTGATAAACTGTAATGCAAACCTGAAGCATTTTCTCTTGTAACAGGCAATGTACTTGAATAATGCTTAATAAAGGTAATGAAGTATTATGAAATTTGGCATCACAATCTTGTGACTCAAAACCTAGATCTGTAATTTTCTGTTACTGAGTACTTTGGGTCAATTACTTAACCTCTAAATCATCAGCTTTATCAGCTATAAAATGTATTCTGATACTACCTGTCTCACAGGACTGTGTGATATATAAACAAAAATTTCTTAGCACACTACGTAACACAACTACTAGAATTATTTTAAGTTAAAATATTTAATCTTCTAGAATTGTTAATTTACTAGTTGCTTAAAATGTAAGATAGGCTTTAAGAGACTACAATAGTAGACATGAGAATTTTGCTTGATGTTTTTACCTTTTGATGTGAAGATTTTGAAGGGTTCCTTGTCAAAATGAAATCTTATTAACTATGAAGCTTGGATCATGAGAATAAATGACAGAGTAACTGATAAAATCTTCACAAGTTGGGGGCATCAAGGCTTAGGAAAAGAGGATTGGGTAGAAAAAAAAAATTAGTAGAAAAAGAGATTGTTCCAGCTGAGGAAGAAAGGGGCAAGCAAAAATGAGGGTGGTCTCTCTGAAGAAGCCTGGGGGATCTGGGTTTAGAAGAGGAGTAAGTGTTGAGATAAAGGAAAAAGATGTACTTAAAATTCCATGGGGTGGAGCCAGGTTTTGGAAAATCAGATTACATAGATAGCAAGTGTGGAATTTCTCATTGTCTTGCTTGCAGTTAAAAAAAAAAAAATCACTGTAGTTTGATTAGCAGGGGATTGACAGACGTAGTGAAAAATGTTCAGAGGCAGAATTGTGAAACTTGGAAAGTTGTGCGTGTTTTCTCTACACACCAAGGATGAACTATGGGATTGTCCCCGGACTTCCCATCTGTGACACATTCCTCAAGCTGTTATTTCTACTCGTGATTTTTCTACCCACAACTAATGCCATGATCACTTTCTTCAGTGAACGTTGAAAACTTAACAGTGAACTCAGGTATTATTCTCTGATTATTTAAGATTAAGTGGTATGGCTTAGTTCTGAGGGAGCCTTCCCCACCCTGAGGGCCTCAAGAGCCTCAAGTTCCATAGGTGAGCTGCCTCAGCGCCCGGCGCGAGGGGGCGGTGGAAGGGGGGTGCTGAGTTCAGTCCCACCGCGTTTCTTGCTGCCTCTGGACTCCAGTGTTCGCCGTTAGTGGTCAGGTTCTAGCCCCTGCTGTTTGTGTAACTGGGATCGCCGGACGCCTCGTGGTTGCTTCATGTGGATTAATTTATGGAAGCGTCAATCTATGTGTGTTCTGAGTATTTCGATGATAATGTTACTGGAACAGAAATTTCTTAATCCAGAAGGTAGTATTTATAATGTATCATCATTTCCTTGTAGTGAATTGTTTCAAGTTAACACTTGTTTAGATTTTTTTTACACTACAGCATTTATGCAGTTGTTTACAGAATTCATGGAATTATTTTTAATAATTCCAGGAATTAATTAAAATTTTGAATTAAAAAAAATGGTATGGCTAAGGAGAAAACACAGTGAGATTCTGGGGTAAGGGCTTGTAGAAGGATTTTTTTCCTGTGAATGAATGAATGAACGAACAAACTAATTAATTTAAAAGGATATATATTTATTATATATACTATATATATATACTTATATATAGTATATACATATAGTTTAAAAATTTAATTAATAAATTACAAAAAAAAATTAAGGGGGTACTTTGCAGTAGGCACTGTTTAAAACCTTGGAGATAGAACAAAATAGATTAAACCAAGATCACTGGCTATCCTGCACCTTTTAGAAGCTCATTAAAATATAAAAAGACTCCACCCGGCTCTATCAAATCTGAGGGGGGTGGAGCCCAGAAGTCTGATTCCATAAACTCAAATGATTCTAATGCTTGCTGAAGTTTGATAACCACTATCCTAGATTTATTATATGGATAGAATTTGAAACGTCACAGTTTTGCCACCTGAAGATGGGAGTGGAAGACCAGGGAGCAGCTGAACAGATAAAGGCCCTTCGGTTACCGCTCCTCTCTTTGGCTTTTTCCCTGAAGGGAAATACCCAGGATTACAAAGGTGAGCTTTCTCTGAAGACCATTTCTGTAGTCATGGTTTTCTTTAAATATCTAGAGTTGATCTTAATGTTTATGGAAGATTTAATGTATATTATGGAATGTAACCATATAAAAAATGAGAAAGCCAAGTCAGAGAAAAAAAATGAAATTAAGAAAAATGAAATAAGTGTTGGTAAGTTTAGCACATAGTCAACATTCTAGGAAGACACACTATTCTCCAACTTTCCTTTCTCTTGTTTTCTGTAAAAATATCTAATCTCTCTTTTCACTGTCCTCTTATTTCCTTTTAACTTTGTGCTGATTTAAAACATTTCTTAAAAAAAAATATTTACTGAGCATCTAGTATGTCAGGTGCAGATACATCTAAGAAACTCTAGTTTCTTGTGGATAGAGAGTGGCCAACAAATATATTCATTCATACTTTATATTAGATACAAAGAAAATGAGAGGATGTGAATGATGGGAGGTATTTCCAAAAGGGCCTCTGTGAAGGGACATTTGAACTGAGAACTGAAGGTAAGAAAAAAGGAACTAGAATTACAAAAATATGAGAGAAAATCATTGCCAAGTTAAAGAGCACAGATGGATTTATCATCATAACTGGAATGGACAATGGTTCGGTAAAGCTAGAGGTGAGATTATATGCAGGCAGGAAGACCACAGAGAACTTGGTTAGCCATTTGGATTATATCTTAAGTGTACTGGAAAGTTGTTAGAAATCTTGATTTAGGTTTAAAATAGTACTCTGGTCGAACTGAGGATTTCGAGGTGTGAGTAGGGGCAGGGCTGAACATAAACTAGTTGAGATGTTATAAATGAATGAATTTTAGGGTGAGCTGGGAAAAGGAAGGCATTGGTTGAAATCCTGGATAGTGTTTTAGAATTGCTAATTTGGGGTGCTTATTAGACCTTTAATTGCAAATGAGTTGGAAGTATTGTATGGAGGTAGAAGATTAAATTGGATAGTGGTACTTAAGTTTTTGGATATATAATTATTTGGGAAGAAACTGAAACTAGAATAAGGGATTAGAATTGACCCTTGAAGCACCCCAAAACTTAGAGGCTCTAGAGGATGTGAGATCAAAAAAGATTACTGAGAAGCAGACCAGTAAAGTAGGAGGGATATCAGATTATGATCTTGATAGCAAAGGAAAGAAAACATTCCAAGGGGAGGGTCTTGGTCAACTTTGTTAACTGCTGCTGAGAAATCAAGTAAGATAAAGCCAGGAATGGCTGCTGGATTGTGAATGTGTTCGGTTGGCAACTGGTCAGTCTTTTCAGTTGAGTGGTCTGGGCCATGTTCAGGGAAGCAAAACAAAGGAAACTACAAGGAGGCTCAAGAACCTAAGCAGCAAAACAGAAATTGGAGCAAATTCAAAATGGATGGCAAGGAGAGAGAAAATATTTGGAATTTGTGTAACAAGGGAATGCTCTTTTCACTGTATAAATAGTTCTTAAATTGAAGGAAAAAAGACCACAAAAACCTAGTAAAAGAAAACAGGTAAAAGTCTAAAACATAGTTCACAGAAAAAGAAATGAAATAGCCCTTTAGCATATGAAAATAAAATGTAGGGGGCTCCTGGGTGTGATGGGCAATTAAGCAGCGAACACTTGATTTTGTCTCAGGTCAAGATCTCAGCTGCGCACAGAGATCAAGCCCCGTGTTGGAAGCATGCAGTCTGCTTGATATTCTCTCTCATCCTTCCTCTGCCCCTTCCCCCTGCTGCTCACACTCATGCACACTCTCTCTCTAAAATAAATAAATCTTCTATAAAGTGTAAACTGAAAATATATAAAGATACCATTTCCCACCTACCAAGTGGGCAAAAAATTTGACACCCTTTCTCGTGTTGCTTGGAATGCAAAATTGTACAAACGTATGATTGGAATCTGGCAAAATGTACCAAAATTATGGGTATATTTTTACCAGGAATCCCATTTCTTTTTTTTTTTTTTTTTTTAAGATTTTATTTATTTGACAGGCAGATCACAAGTAGGCAGGCAAGCAGAGAGAGAGAGGCAGAAGCAGGCTCCCCGCTGAGCAGAGAGCTCAGTGCAGGGCTCGATCCCAGGACCCTGGGATCATGACCTGAGCTGAAGGCAGAGGCTTTAACCCACTGAGCCACCCAGGGCGCCCCAGGAATCCCATTTCTAAGGAATATGCCTTCTCTGAATTTTGGCCTCACGACTACTCTGCACTCAAATTATTGATGAAGAGCCCAAAAAGCATTTTGTGTGTCCTATCTGTAGTCCCCGTATTACAAGTTAAAACTTAGGTTAAAAAAAATTATCAACTTATTAAAAGTAAGCCTAACATTTTTATGAGGAATCCTCTGAGCAGTTACAGGAAAGAGGGACATGGTTTTACAATTTTGCAAATCTCTTTAATTTCTGGTTCATTCAATAGCTATTACCTATTACATCTGCTCCAGCATTCCATCTACTGCAGTGCTATTTTACTTGTATGAAGAACATCTGTCCTCATACAAGTACATTGTTGGAAAAGGAGAGCACATTATAATAGCTTTTTTTCAGATAATTGTGACTTTTCTTCCTGAAATCACCAATAATGTTTTCTGTTACATTAAAATATTGGTCTTACACTTTGCATCACATTTTACCCTTGCATAATCTCATAATATCACGTATTGGTCTTTCAGAAAATATTGGTTCACTGAGTTTTCAGACTTTCCACATGTTGATGTATTTCAGTATACAATATCCAAGTCACATTTGTTAATATCACCACCAATTTTGTCAGAAAAGAAGCTGTCAAAGTCTTGAGAAGCTGTCAGGCTTCAGTAGTGGATACAAGTTTTCCAAAGCCAGAATTTTATCATTGACAACTAAGACACTCAGTTGGTTTCCTTGAAATGACAGGGTCACTCTGTTAGTGTTTGAGAAAATATCTTCCAATTTGCTACATCTGAATAACCACATTTGTCTCATTTCTTTTTTCAACAAAAAAATGTGCTGTGAAAAAGTGTGGCTAGTATGGCTTGTAACTCAGTTATAGAAAGTGTTTTTCTTGAAACAACCACTGTATTCCTATATGCAGCATAAGTGCTTTATACATAATTTTCATTTTGTCACCCAGAATAGTAATTACATCCTGTACTCAAAAGTGGAATTAAGAAATTAAGAATACTCAAGTAAAAAAAAAATTAACTAGGAGTATGCAAGTATGTAGAAATTGAAAAATACAGTACAGGGGTGCCTTCGTGGCTCAGTCAGCTAAGCATCTGCCTTCAGCATAGGTCATGATCCTGGGTTGTGGGATCAATGCTTCGTATTGCTCCCAGCTCAGCGGGGAGTCTGCTTCTCCATCTGCCCCTCCCTCCAACTCATGATTGTGTGCTCGATCTCTCTCTGAAATAAAGAAAAAATTTTCAAAAAGGAAAAAAAAATACAATACATGACAACAGTTGGTGCTACTTCCTTGATTAATGGAAAGATGGCAACAGTTTTATCTGTGATTAGTGCACATGTCAACATGGTAAAAAGGCAAATCAAGTCTTGAGAACCACACTTTGAAAATGGCTGCTTTATTTATATTTATCCTAACAAATAACAAAGTTATCTCATATGTACAGTTAATCAACTTCAGAATTATAAAAATGTTTTGCATATCTTAAAAATAATGAAAGGGCAGGAGGTCTAGTTAATCACCAGGTTTCAGTGGTAGTGAAAGCATGGGGCGGGTAGGGGAGAAGGTAGTAAATCCACAGATTAGGGGGTTTTAATAAATTTTATTATTTTTTTAAACATATATTTTTATCCCCAGGGGTCCAGGTCTGTGAATCGCCAGGTTTACACATTTCACAGCACTCACCATAGCACATACCCTCCCCAATGTCCATAACCC